CGCTTTTGGAGAAGATGAGGGACGTGGCCACAAGCGTGGCAATTTTGGGGACGAGGGTGGCCCCGCAGCCAGAGTCACAGGATTGGGTGGGTCTGGGGTTGGGGTGGGGGAGGCCACAGCTTGGCCTCTACAGCCGGGCCTCAGAGTCGGGGTGGGGGCGCCCTACTCCCGGGTTGTCCCTCTACCTGCTGGTCTACATGCTTCCGTCCCTGTGCCATGCCCAGAGCTGCCCAGAGCTGAAAGGGAGCACCCGGCCCTCTTTCTCCCGCCCACAGGCCAATCACACTACTGACCAAGTCCACTGTCGAATGTGCGATTCCCTCAAGAAACAGACGAACAGCTGCGTTTTCTCCATGTGCTGCTCGGGCGTCTGAGACGTGGGAAGAAGACTCTCCAAACCTACCGAACGGTGGTTACCTTTACCCTCAACGTGGAGACAGCTCAACAGGACCCCTGGGAACACGGGGTGAAACTCTAGAATGGCAGAGATGTGACCCTGAGGTCCCCTGAGATCCGGGGGGTAGGATCCAGGAATGGAACCCCAGTGCCATAAAATTACAGTGAATGAAAGAAAGACTGGGGTCTGCTCCCAGCAAGCAGCCGTGTGAGAAAAGCTGCCCCTCGTCAGGGGAGCGGGCGGCAAGGGACTCGCTTCCAGACCCGGCAGTGGCCCCTGGGGACCGGCCTCCACGCTGGAGGCGCAGCCGTGCGCTGACAGTGGGGAAGGGAGGATCAACACTGTGGCTCCATCACGCATACGCAGGAGGGAATTGTGAGGTGCGGGACGTTAGGGGACCAGGCGCAGAAGGGGCTCCAGGAGGTGGGCCAGGAGTCGTGGCCTGACTGTCCAACTTGCCAATAATGTATTTTGTTCCCTTTTAAGAACTGCATTTGCCTTGGACCTCTCTCAGGCCACAAGAACTAAAGGAATAAATTCTCCAGGAGCACTGGCGTGCGTGCCTGGAAACCACCAGAGGCAGGCTCCTAGATGGGTGACAAGGCCAAGGCTGCAGAGCCGGCCTCTTAGCAGGGCCCCCGGGAGCTGGTCCAGTCCAGAGAACTGTGGGATCCACCCACTCCAGCCTGGGCCTGGCCCGTCCAGGGGCCTGCAGTTTTCTCTACTCTCGGTGCAGCTGTGTCTCAGACATATCTTGTTTCCAGGTATTGGTCAGGAGTGCTTGGTTTGTTTTTAAGATTTACTCCCTATGGCCTGGAGCTAAATTCTAACTGAAATGTCATCCAGAAGGAGGCTACTGGTGCCAGGAGCTGTCAAAGGCAGGGCAGTTGCTCTGGGACATGACTTCTCATAAAGGGATTTCACCCCTCAGTGCCCTGTGGCCACACCTGGGGCTCTTCCCCGCTCATGTGAGAGGCCCAGCAGCATGGACCTCCCCTCAAAGCCAACAGTCCCCCCACTCCCTCCCCCAACGTTCTCCCCGCCTCCTTCAAAGCCCAGCCTGCAAGAGCCTGGGAGGAGGGAGGGGCAGGGCCGGGAGCCTGTTCCTGACACGACAGGCCGGACAGCCTGAAGCGCCTCTCTCATCTCTCTGGGCTCCCATCTCCCCCAAATCTGCAATGAAGGGCAAGGAGGTGAAGAAGAAGGGGGTCACTGGGAAGACTGGCTCCGAAGCTGGTGGCCAGTGCGTGGAATCTGGCCACAGACATATTTTTGGGCTGAAGAGCATGTTAAAAGCTTTCACTGGAGCGCCGTTGGACGGGGCAAGCACTCTCCGCGTGTCTTGGGTCCCGCCACTCATGCTGCCACCCTGCCCGAGGGGCACAGCTGCTCCACCTGCCCAGCCTGGGATTGTCATCTGTGTTCCCCAGGCCTGTGGACCCTGATGGCCCTACTCGGGGACGCCTGCGTATTGTCACAGCCAGGCCTGGAGTCTGAGCCACAGCAGGAAGGATACAGAAGAGCGAGCGGGCATCTTATGACACTGGATCCCTGGGCCCTGCAGTCAGAACTGGGCCCGCGCCCAGGCCCTGTCAGGGCTGTGGTGTGGCCTTGGACAGGCTCCGAGCCCTCTGAGCCTCAGGGCACAGCGGGGAAGGAGTCTGCATGACACCTCAGAAGCGCTGCCGTGAAGTCGCCAAAGGCCCTGCAGATTCTGGTGTTACTGGGGACCAGGTTGGACCAGCAAAGCCACCACCCCTGAGGCCCCTCTGTTAGGCCAGCTCCAGCTGCTGCTCCTTCCTTCCTCATTACGGGTCTGGGCGCTGCTAGGGGACTGGAGGGTGTCCTAAGCCGTACACTTCCAGGACAGGGGCTGATCCCGTGGAGAGAGAACAGGGCCTGGAGATCTGAGAGTTCACTTCACCTCTACCTTGTCCTGTGAGCCCCGATCTCAATCTTCCCATCTGTAGGATGGGCCCTGTGACCTTTGCCCCAGTGGATGTCGGGGGACTGCAGAGCCCCGTACAAAGGTCTGTTATAAAAGGGCAAAGCCTGACTAAGGCGCCTCAGGAAGGGTGTCAGATTTGACATGTCATCAGATTTTTCAGGTTGGAGCTAGACTAATGGTATGAAAATTGTCCACAAAATCCACAATGTCCTTTTCAAAAAGTCAGAGCTGGAACCCGGGGCTGAAGGCCCATGAGGAACACCCCGGGCCTCCCACCCCGATGCTGGTGAAAGCCCTGGCCTTGTTTTCCGCTCAGAATTCTCCAGCACCTACTCAACGGCTGGTGTCCTCTGGACCTTCCTCTCCAAGCTCCCAGGCCGCCCCGCCGGGCAGCGGGGGATGCAGTTGGCGAGAGCAGGTCCATGTGTGAGAACACGTGTGTGCATCTGTGTGCTCTTGTGCTTCTTCCTGGCAGCCCAGGAATCGAGTGGGTGTCTAATCAATACAAATGCAACCTGAGGACCAGCAGAGCCTCAGGGAGAGGAGAGGCGTGGAGGGAGCCTGGCCGGGGACAGCAAGAAGAACAGGAGGGGCAGAGTGGTACCTGGGGCTGGGCAGGCTTTGCCGAGGGAGAACGGTGTGGCCGCAGGCAGCTGGTCCAGGGAAGGCTGACCAGGTCCCAGCAGGACCCAAGGATGTGGGTGCAAGAGGCCAAGAGCCCTGAGCAGCAGACCTGCGACCCCAGTACTTCCTGCAGGGGGAGGGACTGCGGGGTGGGGGGTGCCAGGTGTCACACCTTCTCCTACCCGGCCTGGCAGGTGGAGGCCGGAGCCAGTTCCTCTGGGCTCCCAGAGGTGGGCTCTGGCCCCGGCCACTTCCCATCTTTGCCCAGCAGGCTCCATGGGGGTGGGTGCGCTGACTGTCTCCACCTCTGCCCTGGGTGACTGGGCGCCCTCAGCGGTTCTAACAGCCCAGGACACCCCATCTGGGGCAGTGGGCCCAGAACCGTCTCCCACTGCCCTCACCGTCAACTTCCCTCTCCAGGGATGGGAGGATCACCAGCTGCCAGGGGTCAGGGGGTTGCATCCCAGCCCCACCTCTGCCAGTCACTGCCTGGGGACTCCACCTTGCTGAGCCTCAGTTTCCTCTTCTGTCCCACCACCTTGTAGGGTGTTGGGGGGAAAACACTCAGTGGTGGCCAGAAGAGGTCTGCTCTGTCTCCCTGAATGGTCCAGGGCTTCCCCATGCTGGGCCTCAGTTTCCCCTGAGGGAGCTGGACTAGGTCTTCCTCCAGGCTAGTTCCCACCCCTCTGGGTGTTCTTGTTTTCCACTTGGTCTGAATATTAGCAGGATCAGGAGCCCACCTCTATATGCTCGCTCAGCAGTGGAGGGCCTGTCCCAGACGACCTATCACAGCCCCACATCCTGGGAGAGAGGAGGGGAAGGGGAGAGCTGTTGGGTGACCCTGCAGGTGACCTGCTGGACCAAGGCAGCTGAGGCTCAGAGAGGTGAAGGGTCTTGTCTGAGGTCCCACAGTAAGGCAGAGGTACAGCCAGGACAAGACCTCTCGGGCCCAATAACCTCAAATGGGGGCTCTCTCTGCCCTAGTTCTTTGCCGACTTGGTGACATGCAGACACTGGGGACACCATTACATGAAATGGCCAAGTCCACTGTCATCGCTACAGTTCAGCCCAGACTTGGACGGGGGCTCCACGTGGCTGTTCCAAGTTGGCAAGAGAGACTCTGTGAGGAGTTGAGGCCCCAGGCAAAGAGATGGTGGCCCCTGGCACCCCCATCTCAAACTCCCCCCGCCAGTTCACACACCAGATCCTCACTGCCCATCCTGCCCCTCTCCCAGAAGGCCTTCCTCTGTCCCCAGTATCCCCGCAGGTGGCTTTTTCTGACCACTCCAGCCCACAGCGAGTTCTCCAAGCTCCCCCTCCAAGCTTCCCCTCCCATGGGCCCCTTGGCCATGGCCCTGAGCATCATGGCCCCCTTGCATCCACAGGTGGATACCCACCACACGAGGTCCGGAATCCGCCCCGACCCCGACTCTCTGCTCCCAGCAACATGCTAAGCTCCACGAGGACGCGAGGGGCTGCTCGGGAAGTCCGGGCGGACTGCTGTAGCTGTTTGCTGTCCTTGGTGCAGGGAAAGTCCTTTCCATTAGCCATGGTCTACATGGCAGGGACAAGCTTGCCCAGAATCCACTTGCTGGCGTCCTGGAGGGTGGAGAAGTGTCCACGGTGGGTGTTCAATGTGAACTGAGCCTGGGTACACCTCAGCAAACAGCCCAGTTCAGGCCAGCGGTTCCAGGGGCTGGGGGTCAAGAGAGCCTCAGGCCTACCCGGACCATGGTCTCCTGGGTCCCGTCTAGCCCTAACGTCCAGAGTCTGCAACGCAGTCAGCATCTTGGACGACACCTTACTTGAGGACCATGGCTGAGGAATCTCCCCAACAGTTCTTTGAGTCCTTGGACGTGGAAAAGCGCTGCTCGCACTGCATTGGGCCCAGGGAAGCGGAGGCAGGAAGCCAGGGTGTCTTCCCAAAGTGTGTTTCTCTTGGGAAGGGGTCTTGGGGGGCCTTGGAGCATCATCAGCCCAATGAGACTCCTACTCGAGACATTAAAGAGGTGGCACCCAGGACTGAGGGGCGCTCTGCACACAGGTCTGAGATGTCCTGTGAGCATTGGGAGCGCAGGGTGCATCACGGTGGGCAGTCTGCTCAGCTGGACCCTTGGGCCCATAGAAAAGCAAGCAGGTATTTACATGGTGCTGCCAAAGCAGCAAAAGCAAGCTCTCCTTCCCAGGCCTGGGGCAGGAAGACAGACGGATGGTCAGACAGCTGGGGGACTGGCAGGCTGAGCTGGGGCTGCAGTTGTCTGCAGAACAGTCTGTTGCTTTGTGGACACCCAGTTGCCGTTGGGAGAAGCTCATTGATTGACTCAGAAATGGACAGGTGTCTAGAAGTCCTACAGCTCCCCCATAGAACCCCAGAGTCCTGGCAGGAAAAGGGGGAAGGAGTTTCAGGCGAGTGGGGGGTTGCTGGGGGACAGCCTCATTGGGCCCCTCTGGCTGTCTCCAGAGGGGGTGGGAGGCTATCACCCTCAGTGACATGTCTTAAGTGCGTGGCGCCGCCCAGCTCCGAGGGTCAGTGGCGGTCATAGGCAGTGGCGGCTGCAGGCGGGGCAGCCCCCCGGGCCGCGGCGCTGTAATAGTACGGGGAACCTGCAGGAGACAGAAGACGGTGTGGAGGTTGGAGGGCCACCTGTGCCCGAAGCCCCAGAGCTGGGGCCCCCTTTCCACCAGTGTCCCCCACCATTCCCCCTCCGCCCCCTCCCCCAGCCCAGGCCACCGTCCTCTCTCACCAGGACCTCTGCCCCAGTCTGTTCCCCAAACCGCAAGCCTGATCAGGGCTAGCTGCTCACAAGAGTTCAAGGCCTCCTGGCACCTGGGGCTGGGTGGGCCAGACCCTCCCTGCCGCGTGTTTCAGTAAAGGAAGTTGAGCTGGAACCCACCTCACCCACTCGTTTCTGTGCTGTCTGCAGCTGCCTTCACGCTGTTACGGCATACCTGATATTGCAACAGAGACCACACGGCCTGCAAAGCCTACAATATTGACTACCAGGCCCTTTACAGAAAAAGTTTGCCAACTTCTGACCTAGAGGATGAAAAGTCGTCACTGCTTAGTCTGGCCTGGGGGTGCTTTATGACGGAGCCCTGCCGACCTCTCTGGATTTACCTCCCAAACCACCACCCTCCCGTCACACTCCCGCCCCACCTACAGCGAAATCCAGCTGTGTGCAGCCGCCTCAATACGCCACGATGCTGAGGGCAACCGCCACGGGCTGAGCACGTCCTCTCCCCACACTGCCATGTCCTTTCCGCGTGTCATCTCATTTCAACCTCCGGGCCGGTGGAGTGGGCCCGTGTGCCATATGCTCACGCCTCGGTGCCTTTTCCCGTGCCCCGCTCCCTGCCTGGAACACCTTGGCCGCGCCTTCACCCCCTTTCCTGTCTGCTAAACTGTTCTGCCTCCTTTGAGTCCAGTGCCCATCTCCTCCTCTGGGAAGCCCCCTGCCCTGGGCTCACACTCCTCTGCAGGCAGGACCACGCGCTCCCATCGCATCCTGCTGTGCTTCTTCCCCCACCCCTGGACGAGAGCCCTACAAGGGCAGGGGCCAGGTCTTCTTGGTGTTCCGCCCCAGTCCCCAGTCTGGAGCCCGGCACATGGCACGAGCTCAGCCGGGTTTGTTGAGCAAATAAACAACAGCACTGAGTGAACGAACAGTGGTGAAGACTCCTGCCCATTCATTCATTCATGTTCTGACCCTGCTGGGTGCAGCGCTGGGCAGTAATGCACCAACACCAGCCTGACACAGGCCAGCGTTCAGGGTCAGGAAGGGGATCGGAGCTCTGAGAAAAGAGCTCCGGGAAATGCGAGATTGCTCTGGAAGAAGGGGCAGCCTTCCTGGAGGAAGTGGGTTGGGCTGAGTTTGGAGGACAGTCAAATTCAGACATGGGGAGACGGGGGTCCGTGAGTACGTGGGAGAAGGGCAGGGTGCGGCCCTGCCTCCTGTGCCCCCTGGACAGAGCCCATGGGAGGGCCCGTGCACCGACGCTAGGTCCCCCCACTGTCTCTGGGCTGCTTTCCTTGACTACACGCTTTGATGAGGGCTCCAGGAGCCTACTCTGTGCTCAACTCCTCCCAGGGATGAGAGGGTGTGGGGGACTCAGGGAGACAGGAGATTCTCAGAACCACAGAGGTTAGAGATGCTAAGCCATCTCCTCCTTTTGCAGGTGGGGAAACTGAGGCTCAACAAACCAAAGTCACGTGCCCAAAGCCACAGAGCCTCTCAGTGCAGAGCCTGCCTGGAGTTCAGGCTGCCGGCCCCTGGCGCAGGACTCTCCCACCACAGCGCAGCTCACGGCCGCACACCCAATGCTGGAGGGCAGTGTTTGTCCAAGTGGACAGCAGCTGGGGCCCGGCCAGCCCTTGCAGACCACATGTCTGCTGGGGCGGGGGGACAGTAAGCTTCCTAATTCTCCAGGGGAGGGGACTTATTTAATCTGGAATCTCTCCCAAATCCAAACTAATCCTGGCAATTCTCCTAGAAAGCATAACCGGGCACCAGGGCCCTGAGCCTGCAGTCAGGCTCTGTGACCTTTAACAAGTGCCTTCGCTCTGCTGAGCCTCAGTTTTCTCATCTGTAAAAGGGGGTCACAGTGCAGCTATTTGAGGGCACCATAAGATACAGATGTGAAAGTGCTTCGGAAATGGACACTTTTCTAAGCCCTTTGTATCCATTAATTCTTTTAATTTCTACAACAATTCTCTCAGGTGGGAACTAGTATTGTCCCCATTTAGCAGATGAGGAAACCAAGGCACAGAGAGAGTAAGTAGCTTGCCCGAGGTCACACAGCCAGTGTGTCATCAGGAGGGCAGGATCCCTTCCAAACTCAGCCCTGACTAGCGGCTACACTCCCCCTTGCCGGCCCTCCAGGAGGTCAGTGAGGCTCAGGCAGCAATGGCACTGGAGGAGTGGGCAGTGCCTCACTGTGCTTTTCCAGAAGCATGGACACCAATTCCTAAGTATTCCAGAGATGCTGCCTCCTCTGTCACCTCCCCGGGTCAGAGCCCTGACTCAGAAACGCCCATCGGCTCCCTCTGCTCTCTTCTGCGGGATGGGGACAGCATCAGGACGGTCAGTCACCCAGGGAGCATCTGCAGTGTCAGCCCTGCGTCCTGCCTTCAGACGGGCCCCGGCCCCAGGTGAGAGGGACATATGTGGTGGGGGCCATCCCCACAGGCCTGGCCATGGCACAGGAGCAGGCAGACCACAGGGGCTGCCCCCATGCAGGCCTCAAGGGACAGGAAATGAAAGTACGACTCCTCGGGGGAACCCGGCCCGTTCCTCCGAGTCCCCCGCCGGCTGCCTCTCGCCTTCGGCTCTGACTCACTCCCTCTCAAAGCCTCATCACTGGGCCAGGCTGCCCAGCGGCCCTGGCGCGAGAACTCCACGGCGAGATCCAAGACACTTGCATTTACGGTGAGAAATGAAAACATCACCTACTCTGTCTTCCTGGGGCCCATTAGACCTCCATCTAGAATACACTTGTCCTTGCTTCTGTCATTTTTCCTCTCTAATTCACATTATCAGCCATTTACTTCTTGACACAGTCGTTCCGGGCTCCTACACGCTCTCTAATCCCTTTAGAGTGAATCCTAATTGACCTCGGAGGCCTTCCTTCCACCGCCGGCCCTGCCTGCCCCGCCCACGTCCATGGCCATCACCAGCCTGGGCCCCGACTGGATGCTGGGCCTCGGCACCCCAGCTGGGCCGCTCTGGACACCCCGTGGGTGGCTCCCCAGAGGAGGCTCAGCGGGGAAGGACGCTCTCCAGAGTTGGCACTACCCATCCGCACTCTGGCCATGTTTCTGTGGGGGAGGCATACCCGGACCGGCCGAGGTGTGGGCAGTGTGTGTGTGCGAGAGGGTGAGGGCACGAGCACCCGTGCGGCGGTGCGTGGAGGGGCTCACCTGTCGCCACAGTGCCCACTGCCCCAGCGGGAGCACCAGGAGCCTCAGAGCAGGTTCACACAGCCCGGTGCACTCCCCAGAGAGCAGAGACCATCAGCCTACCTCTCCTGCCCAGTGGGATTCCTTTCACTAAAGCCCTGAGGACACTGGCGGGGAGTAGGCTGCTAGATGTGGATGGGCCTGCTCCATCTGAGGCAGATCCGCAGGACTTATCTGCAAGACTGTGGCAGATTGAGCCTGGCATCTCCCACCTCTTCAGGAGAGTGGATCACTGCTTATTCGAGGCCACGGACCTCAAGAGAGCATCGTGTTCAGCTCCTGCTTGAATGAAGCTGCCTGTGGCGATTCCCCTCCTTTTATTCCTGAGGCAGCTGAGGCCCAGACTGCTTGATGACCTGACTATGACTCCTTGGTTCTAGACTTGGGCAGTCCAGGGGCCATTTCTCATGTCTCTAGCTGCCCAACAGCGTTCAAACTTTCCCTGTGTTTGCAGTTTCCTGTGGTGTAAGGCTCGCCTCTCTGAGCTAGGAGCCAGAACTCATTCTCCCAGCTTCCCTTGTGGCCAGGGCACAGGTGTGTCACCTGGGCTCTGCCGATTAGACCCTCTTGCCTATGACCTCAGCTGGGAAGGCAGCAACTTGAGGGAGGGGGCCGAGGGCCTCCATCTGCTGGGAGTGGTGGCAGAGCATCCGGCTCTGGGTGGCTCCCTGGCTGAAGCAGCAGCAGAAAGCGAGCTGCTGGGCGTGCTGACTGGCAGCGACAGGACTGTTTACGCTAGAGCGGCCCTGGGGGTGTGCTGGTGTCACCCCTGGCCGTGTCCCGCGTCTGTCTCTTTGGTCCTCCAGGAGACTCTGGGAGCCCCAAAATACCTTAATAAATTTGTCTTCTGCTTAAACCCGCCAGACTGGATTCTGTTGTTGCAACTGTAATCCTGACAGATATATACAATAACCTGGCTTTCAAAGACAGACCAGAGCTGTTCTCCTCACATACATGGTCTGAGTGTTTAGGACTCTCCAGGCTGTTCCTATGGAGGCATGAGGCCTGGCTGTACTATTCAGACTGTGAATCAATCTGTCAGGGAGGGTGAGAGCACCACACGACACACTGGTTATGAATGCAGGCTCTGGCAGGGTGACCGGAGTTTGAGTCCTCATTCTGCCACCTGCGTGCTGCGTGACCTCAGGTAAATTAATTAACCTTTCTGAGTCTCTCTTCTGTATAAGAGAGACAAGAGGATGTGCCCCTAGCTGAGGGGATAAAACGAGATAACGCACACGAAGGGTTTTGCCCGGCGCCTTGCCAGAGATTAGCAAGTGCTTACTTAAATGAGCAGGGTTTTGATTCCTCTTCCTCCTGTCCACACTGGCTCCGGCCCCCCTCAGGACACTGCGCACCTCCCAGCACACACACACTTGCCCGAGGCCCCCTGCCCCAGCCTATGAGCTCCCAGGACACAGTCTGCACCTTCTCCACAGCAGGCACGCAGCCCACGTCTAACACTTGGAGACGTGAAGGCACTTCACTGAGGCTGAGCAGCAGTGGCCGCAGACGCAGTCTAGTCCCACCCTCCCCTCGCCATCCCCTTGGGCTCCTGGCTGCCCACACAGTCAGGTCCAGACTTCCCAGTCTGGCACTCGAGGTCCCCCATCTGTGGCCCCACAGACCACCCGCCTCCTACTCCACCCCTTTGCCACACTTGCCTGAGTGGCTCCTTCTCCACTTCTCTGCCTCCTGAACTCCCAGGCAAATGAGTCTCTTGGACACCTTGCGAAAATTAGGAAAAGGTGCCCCCTCCAGGCAGCTGTAGCCTGGGCCAGGGCTCAGGTTTTGTGCCAGGCATGGGCTGGATTTCAGCCCCACGTTGTCCCCTTGGGCAATGCACAGCCATACATGGACATCCTAGGTCAACAGTGCCTCCTTGGGGTCGCAGCCCCATCATAAGGAACCCCTCCCACAGCCTGGCCCAGGCCTCCTTTGTGCCATGGCCCCTGTGAGCCTCGCAGAAGGTCTGGGACCAGGGCTCAGTCTCAGGCAGATCTGCAGGGAGGGACTCCCAGGCTCAGGCCTTCAGACCCATTCCCCACCCCCAGCCCTGCTGAAAGACTCTGGTTCAGGGAGACCATGGCCAGCCTTTGCCTCCTGAGGCTGAGAGCTGGGCCAACTCAGAGCCCAGGGCCTCTCCGGTGGTTGTTTAAGGAAAAGCGCTAGGTAAGTAGGGACCTGGCTCAGTGCTTAGAAGTAATTTTTACCAGAACAAAAAAGAAGTCTGCAATCAATACACAGATTCAGCCCCTCCGGGAGGCCACAGATAGTAAGAGCCTAGTCTTCTATAAACCTTGACATCTCCAGGCACAGGGACCTGCAGCACAAATTGGCATTGTTGCGTATTTTACCCACAAGTTTTGCATGACACACCAAAATGGTTTGGGCACCCCGAGGCCTGCGTGCATGGAAGGGTGGTAGCCAGGAGGGGGCGGTGTCCATGTCACATGTCTGCCCTAATCACCAAAGCAGGTTTGGGAAGGGGTCAAGACTGTGACTTCACAGCCTCCTGCACAGACCCATGGCCTGGCAACTTGCATTTGAAGACATCAGGTTCTTGCTTTTCTGATGAAGTCTTTTTTTCTTGGTCCTAGAATAATTCAGGATCCAGGGAATTAACAGGTTCTTACTTAAGCAGGCCTTGTCCAGCTGGACAGACAAACCTGGATGGTCTCAGAGGCCCTTCCATGGCTGATCTTTGTGGGAATTCCCCAGCTGACGGCCAGGGAGCGACCACTGTTGCTACCTGCAGGCTGATTGGCTGGCTCCACCCCCAGGTGGGGAGTGACATCTGTGAGCCCTGGGCCCCTGCTTCATGCTCCAGAACCTTCAGCTCCAGCTGGCACTCAGGAGCTGGTTTCATGTAAGTGTATTTCAACAAAACAAAAGGCTCTCCTTGGCTTTTTGAGGGCTGAGTTAGCCCTGCTGGGTCTTTGGGGTGGCCCAAATATCTAGATGATGTTCACAGATCAGGCTGGCCCCAGCCATGGACAATCTGCCAGTCTGAGTCCTGGGCATAGGCTAGGCATCAGCTGACCTCGGAATGGCATGCCTTGGCAGGCCTCCAGCCACAGGGCAATGAATTTCCAATGGAGCTGGTTCTGAGGATGTCCATGGCAGACATCAATAATCAATCTCAGAGTCCTTATCAAGACTGTGGTCACTACCAATCAATCTGAGTTGGCCTCCTTTCTGCCTTTTATTTAGAGATTTCTCATGGGAATATTTACTGATTCTTAAGAAACACAAGTTACTCTTGGGCGGGCACTTTCCCTACCTTCCTCTTTCTCCCTCAATGCCCTTTCTTCCTCCATTGCCCTTCTGTGCCATTTCCCCTTATCCACCAATGCATCTGGGGGAGGGATGAGGGCACGAGCAGGCCTGGAGTGGTGTGACTGTCCGGGGACCCCATCACAACTGCCATATCACAAGTGTCTGGGGCAAGCTGCCCACCCCACCACAGTGACCAGACCTCAGGATGTCGAAGGAACCTGGCCCAGTGAGGGGGCCCGAGGGGGCAGCCAATGGCCCAGGGCCCCGCAGGCCTCCACCAGTACTCACCGAGCAGCCCCGGGTTGGGGAACCTCCAGGAGTCGTTGTACGAGGGGTACTGAGGGTGGCTGTAGGGGCTCCCAGAAAACTCACTCCCTGCATGTGGGGGGCGGGGAGAGAAACAGGAACCAAATGTCAGGTCAGGTTCGGAAAATGCCAGTGGTATTTGCCTCTTACATAAACTGCAGGCACTTCCTGTAACCAGTAAAGGCAGGTGCGGCCCACTCCCTTATCAGTGGACAGCTGTCACTGGCATTGTCTGTATTTCCCCCTAACTTTGTCTTATCAGTGGGAGTGAAGACCAGCCTCTCACCTGTGCACTGGGAAACGACCACGTGCCAGGCATTCCCTGAGGTGACTGGCCCGCTTTACAGGTAAGAAGACTGATGCCCAGGGCCTCTCACAAAATGGCCCGGATACACCCACCCAAGGCAAAAGCCACAGACTGCTTGGTTCTCAGCCCCAACTGAGGCCACTCCAGGACCCCAGCGTGGATTTAGTTCCACTTCCCACGTGTGTCCTGAGCGGCTCTGGACTGAGAAGCACAAGGTGACCTCGAATCCAGTCTGGTCCTCTGTGCTGTGAATCCAGAGGGGGCAGCTCCCAGGGCCTCGGGCAGATGGGGAAGATGAGACATACACTCTGGCCCTCTGCCAGGAGGAGGCAGACGGCACTTTGCTGTGATGAAGGGACAGGCCAAAGGGCTGGGGGCACGGAGAGGGACAGGGTTGGGTCTTCTGGGTGTTGGGGAAGGGGCAGCCGTTAGTGCTCCGGGCGTGCTCAGGCAGGAACCCCAAGCTGTGCCGGGTGGGGCAGCATGGGGTGTGTGGGGCTGGTGGGACTGAGGATGGGGCGCCCTCGCCCAGCTGCTCATAGGGCCGTGATACTGGCGTCGGCACTTCCCTGCGCTCTCACTTCCAGCCCAGGAGAGCCTCTTTCCCACCAGGCAGGCACAGGAGAGGAGTTCAGAACCCTGGCCTCCAACCTCCCGCCTTGCCTCTGCAGCAGGACACCGCCCGTCTGCCCCCCGGGATTCCCCGAGGGCAGGGTTTGGGTCTGACTCATTGCAGGCCCCCCTGTGCCCAGCACAGGCTGCATCCGTAACTGGCTGCTGAGTGGCTCTTTAAGCCACTGGTCACAGAGCATGTGGGCCCCTCCCCGGCAGTGGTGACGGGAGTTACACAGCTCCCCGAGACCACCCTGGGCCCAAACATGCTTCCATGGATTCTTCTCAAGGATGCCAAAGGGCAGGAGCCTCCAGAAAGGACCGGCCACATGTCAGGACCCAGCACTGCTCTTTCCCCAGTGGCCTCAGCCCAAATGGGGGCCCCCGGGGCTCCAGCAGGTGCGGCAGGAACAATAAAGCAGGGCCAAGGGGCCAGCAGCCTCTTCCCCACTTCCACAGGCAACCGCAGGCAGAGCGAGCACACACACACACACACACACACACGTGCGCTCCTCCTCAGGCCTCTCTAGGGGGCACTCCCAGCCTGACAGGCTGAGCCTTCCAATTCTCTGTTTTTTATGCCTCAGTGGTCAGGGTGTCAGGTTCCGGCGGACAGAGGGAGAGCACGGTGACAGTGCTGGGCTGCAGCAGCCCAGCCTCCGCCTCCTCTGCCTCCTCCTCCTCCTCCTCAGGGGCAGGGTAGGGGAGTGGAGAGACACAGCAGCCTGGAGAAGGGGTACGGCCACCCTCCCTACCGGGCTCCTGGTGCCCACGGAGCTGCCCCATCAGAGGCACTTCCTGACAGCACTGCGCCTGGCCCAGGCCATCGGGCTGTGCTGGCAAAGGCTGTCTCTGGATCTCCATCTAGCAGCTCCGCACCTGTCTGCCAGGCCCAGCTCCAGGGCCACCTCTACCAGGAAGCCTCCTTGAGCTCTCCCCCAAAGCGCAAGTCTAGGGTCCACTCAGCTGGAGTTAATTAGTCCATTGTGTCCGTGTCATCCATCCTGCACCCACCCCCCATCTGATCCCCAAATTGGCGAAGGGCCATAAACAGCTCCAACTCCTTTAGGGGGCGTACCTAAGTCAGTTTTGCCCACCATGCCTGGCCTTCTAGAAGCCCCCTTGGATACCTCTTCCCCTGAACAGCCCCTTCTCCTGCCCCTCCTCAGTGCATTGTCCCCGCAGTGTCCCATAGCACGGGACTCGCCCGATCTGCCCTGGAGTCTCCTGTGACGTGGGACTGTCTGCCCTTCAGGTCCCCGTCTGACCCGTCTCTGCACCTGCACGGCACTCCCCCTGCCCCAGTGCAGTGCCCCAGCCACAGAGCCCGTTGGTGCTCCATGAATCCCCAGCTCGCCTGCCTCCACCTGTGACACTGGCCTGGGTGGCCACACGGCCCTCACCACCTCCCTCTCGGCTTCGCTCCAGCGTCATCTCCGGACCACCACATTTAAAGCGGAAACTCCCTCCACCCCGTCCTCTTTTCTGCTGTACTTTTCTCCACAGAACTGATCACAATCCAACACATCCTGTTTATTGTGCTGATCTTGTTAATTCTGCCTCCTCCACTGGGCGTAAGCTCTATGGGGACATGGATTTTGTCTGCTGAGTTCACGTCTCTGTCCCAACGTCTAGCCCAGGGCCTGGCATCCAGCCAGCATTGAAAACTATTTGTTGAATGAAGAAACGAATGAAAGAATGGGCACTCCTCAGTCAACCGGGGACAGGGCTGATGGCTCCCACTGCTTCTGTCATTGGTCCCCATACACAGAGCATGCCCCCCACACACACACACATACACACACACATTGCCTGACAGGCGTGTAGTAAGCACCCACTGTATGCCAGGATTCAAACCATTTCTCTGATGCATTGCCCAGGTTCCCCCCATCCTCCCCTCCTGCTCCTCGGGGGAAGAAATGACCCCAGGGCCCACCTGCCTGGTGTCCTAGATGGTGTGGCGGGCACCCTCAGCGCAAACCCTATCTTGGGAGATGCCCGGTGAGAGTGTGCACTCTGGGAAAGGGGAGCTTGACCATCTCCGGGCATGAGGCTGACCTCGAGGCTGGGCCAGCCACCTGCTGGGGACTCTGGGATGGCATCCAAAGCGCCACACAGGAATCTCGCTGAGTGCAAGGAGCCCTCACCCCATGAGAGGTGGAGAGGTTAAGTCCTCAATCGCCAAGGAAGCTGTCTGGCTGCAGACCTGGCCCAGCCTGGCCACAAAGATGGCCGGGAAGAGCAGACTGACCAGGTCCAAGCCCGCGTGCTGCCACTGAACCCCGCGGTCCTCAGTCAGCCTGGCACAAAGGCCGGGAGCAAGGGCTCTGGAGCCAGACTGCCTGGGTTCAGATTCTGGGTCTGCCTCTTCCGAGCTCTGTGACCTTTGGCAGGTCACTCAACCTCTCTGTGCCTCAGTTTCGTCTCAGTTAGGTACAGGCAATCACTAGATCCCACCACATGTGGTCACTGTACAGACTGAACAAATAGTCCACAGAGTGCCCAGCACACAGCGAATGCTCAGCAAATATCGGCCACAGTGACAATGACCCGATAGCGGTCACCAAGGCCTCTCGGGCATCCAGAATCTCATCTAACCCTCCTGATGACTCTGTGAAGCTCACAAGATGGGGACAACTGTCCAGATTTTATATGTCAGGAAATGGACCCTCAGGAAGGTAGGGGACTTGGCCAGGCCAGGAGGCAACTCCAAGACCAGCCTCCTGTCGTGCAGCCCAGGGCCCTGCGCCCTGGTGACACTGCCCTCCCCCCGGGCCTCCATCTCCCACCTGTAAAGGGCAGATCCCACCAAGTGACGTCTAAAGGCCCCTCCTGTCTGCTGAGCCTGAGTCTTGCTCCTCAGGGGCCGCGGTGCTCCTCGTAGGGAGGGAGGCCCCCTTGGGGCTCTGTGGGTGCCCCCTGATGCTGGCTTTCTTGGAGTCTGGAGGCTCCAACCTCCTGCTCCGTTTCCCCTGCTGAATTCACCACCATCGTGGCGCTCGAGGAGCATTCACCTTCCTTCCTTCAAACCTCACGACAGCAGCTTAGGAAAGTGAATCTTGCCCAGCCCAGAGAATGTCTGGGGAGAGCATGGGGACACTTTCTGGGGTGGAAAAGCATGTGAGCCAGGATGGATAGGATTTTGATGAGCAGAGGGAGGCAGGGCACCTCAGACACAAGCAAAGGTCCAGGGTGGGACTGGTCAGGCTATGACCCTCCATGGCCAGGTCTTCGTGAGGCCCTAGCAAGGGTGAGCCGCAGAGCAGAGCACAGTGGGGCAGGAACCTTATGCTTTATTCCCGTTAGGGTTGGGCCCCAGGGAAGCCGTCAGACTAGGGAGGGCCAGAATCTGGAGGACAGGGTGGAGGAGGCGAGCCTGAGATCAGGGAGACCAGCCAGGGGGCTGCTGCCACAGTCTAAGCGAGTGGGAAGGGGAGCCCAGTAGACGACAGAGCTGCACCATCTAGACACGACATGATGCTCCTCAAGTGCAGGACGCTGGTCTCAGGGCAGAAAGTGACAGTCCACTGCTGGCTCATTGCTGGGGCCCCCAGAGGTGCAGCCAGATGGCCCAAGACAAAGATCACACAATAACCACCTTCCCTTGTGACTGCCCAGCACCAAGGACGCCACAGACCCCTCGCCTCTTTCCACTAACTGATCCATGCTTTCGGCATCTCTCAAAAATACCAGCCCCTTAAATCAGGAAACCTTTCCTTTAGGCATTAACAGAAAAGCCTCTCTGAGGTCTGACTAGAGTGCCCCCTCAGGCCAGGTGGCTGTCACTCAGTGGACAGTGAGACCTCCATCCGGGGGCATGCAGCACGTGGGCCCTCCTCAGAGACAGCTCCTGGGCTGTCTGGAGTCACCACACAAAAGCCCCTAAGAACTCTCAACAACAAAACACGTGTCATGATCTCCTCCATCCCCAGCCCCCGAGGAGTGAGCAGTCCCAGGGGAAACAGGACTGGACCCTGTGAGACTGCTCCCAGTCAGCACTGCATACGGTGCTGGGGGCAGGGGGCAGGGAGGGCATGCCCATGGGGTGGGCTGGGCATTCCTGTGGCAGGGCTGGGACAAAGCACGCTCTGTGGTCAACCCTCCACTTACTGGCTGTGTGGCCTTGGGAAAGTGATTGAACCTCTCTGGC